CGTCCACCTTCGAAATTGCCGTGAAGGAAACTGCTCCGTAGGGTTTTGAGTACAGGTCTCTGTTTAAAACCCTCTACTTCTCATGTCGGGGACGTGGGGAAAGGGAGAAACTGGGGCATTCTTTTTCCACTCTAACTTCTTTAAAATGCTATTTTGCCTTTTCAGAGTATTTTCAGAATAAATTAAGACAGTGTATTTAACTTTATGTTAACAGTAAACAAGAACCTTGCAAAAAGCCCGAGGATACTTTTTTTTTTAACAAGGCCAGTGCTGTGTCCAATGCTAAATCAAGTCACAAAACCAAAGGCAGAAAAATTCCCAAACAAAATGACAACAACACCACCACCACCACCACCCTGGACAGCTGAGAACTTAAAAGGTGTTAAATGCTTTACGAATGGCTTGGCTTTTAATGAAGTTGTTCACGATACTATTAAATGGTTTCATCAGTAGTTAATACTTTCCTTGGTTACAAGGGGACCCGGGGGACTGGCGTCAAGTGCCCCATGTCCCATGGAAACGCTGATCAATGATGGCAAAATTCAACTTTATCAGAAAGTATTTTCAGACAGTAACAAATGAACATTTGCGTTTTTAGTAACCTATTATGAAATCTGAATTAATCTTCTTTCATAGCAGTTTCTAAAAGTATCATAAAAATGAGACAATACTGAAAAAAAAGGAAGACAAAATGAACTACCAATTTTAATTTCCTATCAATTGTCAGACCAAAAAGCAAGACTAGAGTGGCTTCCCAGAGTATAACAGCAGCAAACCCTCACCCCCTCCATGTACTATGAACCCTCTTCAGGAGACAGTTATTTTAACAAAGATGAGTTACTGAAATCAATTAGGGAAGGAGACTCAGGATAGTTGTAGACATTTCACCTCCTAATCAAACTAGCTCAGGTCAATTTGACAAATGTATCATGTGGGTTTCTTTCTTCCCCAAACAGACCCTACTTGAAGCTTTAAAAAACTGGGGACGTAAGTGTTGATAAAGATTTAAGTATAAAAATTAGGATTAATGAGAGATGATTACCATTATTTAGCAAAGCCCCAAATCACCATTTACAGTAAATTATTAATGTTTTCAGTGTTGAAAAGCATTAAATCTTTTTTGAAAGAGACACCAGTTGTACTACGCTTCCGGTATTTTATCTGATACCCAAACAAGTATGAGTTTGTCTAATAACAGTGGTCTTGCTGAAAACATAATTTAGCTGCTACATGTTTTTTAGAAAGTAAATGAAAATAATCTGTACCAGATATCCAGGTCACCGGCTTTACTTAAGATTTGTACCAAGAGCCAAAAAGTTAAAAGCAACATTAGATACAGACAAACTTTTATTAAATAACCTTTACAACAGTTCTGCAAATGTAATCTTTCTGTTCCCCTCTTTGATACAGAAGTTTACCAAAATAATGCAGAAATCAATCTAAGTCTCTGAAATATGACCAGCTTCCTCTCACACCACTCCAAAGTTTAAAAGAAAAAATTGGTTGTTTAAAAAACAGAACTCACTCCAGCTTCCAACCTAATTCTTATGCCCTTAAATACAGCCTTTAATTTCCAGCCCAAGTTTGGTTGTGGGAAATACATTAATGTGTCGAGTTCAGTATTTACATACTATCTTGAGAGGAAGGCAGTCCTGTCCCTTCAATCTCAAGCCAATGAAGGCAGCAGCCACATCTTCCGCATCCCCTTACAGTACCTAGAGATTAGTAACAGTTCTTAGTACAGTTCTCGGTTTTACAAGCGGGTCCAAGGGTGAAATTTACTTCCTCCTCTTTCCTCCGTGGTGTTGCCCTCCTTTTCTCCTGCCACCCAAAGCAGGCGGCGCGGAATTCATCTTGCCTCCCAAGCCACCTTTCCTCTTCCCTCCCTGGCTGGGCGGGCCCCCTTTCCTCTTACTCCCAGGACCCTGTCGGCCTCCCTTTCTCTTGCCCTTCTGACTCATTTTCCGCCTTTTCGCCGCCTCTTCCTGGTCCTCCTCCCTCATCTGCTTATTGGTGGCCCTCGTCACGTCCATTTGAGGCTTTTTGCTGTTCATCACTCGCAGCATTTCCAGCTGGCTCTTTTTCTCGGCAGCAAAGTCCCCGAAAAGGGGCTGAAACTTCCTCTTCTTGCCGGAGCCCCGGGGCGCCTTCTCCTTGGGCAGGCGCTCCTGGAAGCGTCCCACAGAGGCGGTGGAGACCCTGGCCACCTGCATGGCGCGGCCCAGCTCCTCCTTACTCTGGTGTCCGGTGGGGTGCATGCCGGTCGCGCTGGGCAGCTGTATCTTGTGTGCGCGGGCCAGGTTACGCAGCCGGTTCAGCTCGTTCTTGGCCACCCGTTCCTTCTTGGCCTGAATCCGCTTGGCGAACTGGTCCTCCATGGGGTCAGCATTGCCGGGCACCTCGATCAACCATTCCTTGGTGTCGTCGCGGGCGCGCTGGTAGCCCCAGCGGCGGCGCCACTGGCCGCTCACCTCGTCCCACACCAGATTGGTCTTCTTCTTGGGACGGATGCCCTTAAGGCGCGCAAACTGCTGCCAGCGTGTGAGCGGCCGCGGCCGGGGCACCGGCTTCTCGCGCGGCAGACGAGTGGTGGGCTCCGGCAGCCGCGCCACCAGCGCCTCCTCCACGCGCTCGGTGGGCAGCTGCCACAGCTGGTTGATGAGCAGCTGCGTGTTGTCCCGCGCCAGGGCCCGCAGCTCGGCCTCCTGCGTGGGTCCCGCGTGCCGCAGCCCTGTCGGGGGGTTCCGGTCCAAGGCCAGCAGGTTACCCAGGTCGAACTCCAGCTCCAGCTCCTTGTGCACCGTGATGCGCTGCAGCTTCTCTGCTTCGTCTCGCTCCGCCTTTGCCAGCAGCTCCTCCACGTTCTGGCCCTCCATGGCTCCGGCCCGGCTCACTCGCTCCGGGAGACACTTTAAATTACTTCTCCGCCAGCGCCAGCTCAAACCCAGCAATACAACCACGTGCGGCCGCCCAGACGCTCGTCCCGGAAGAGAAAGCTTCCCTTCCGGAGCACCCGGAAGGGGCTCACAATGCGGGCGACCCGAGGAGAGGCCGGCAGAGGGCGGTGTTGGAGAGCAGATGGGATTAGAGGCGGCCCGCTTTGGCCCCGGCCTCGGTGTAGGCGGAGCAGGAAAGGAGCCCCGACTACAAATTCCAGGATGCAGCAGCGTAAGGAAGCGGCCCGAGCTTTTGGGGGCCGCAAATTCAGGGTGAGGGTCCCACTGTGACTGTTACAGTTTTAGTGTAAGTCGGTTCCCACGATGTTTAGCTAATCAGCTCGTCTTGGGACTAGACACTATTTCACCAGAGCCCTGACCCGTTCATGGGGGTCCTTGGTGTGGCCCGAGAAGGACCCTTCCCACGGATAGGCCTAAAGCCGAGTGTGGAGGAAGACCTGGTTTGCTTCGAAGCGAGCGGGCCTGGCAGTTAGAACGCCCCGAATGGGCGCGGCGGTGGGCGCATCCCAGCAAGCTGCTGTCTGGTGGCTCAGAGCCCCGCGGCCTCACCCTCTCAGGGCTTGTGGCGGAAGAGCGCGGGGCTCTGCAGTTAGACTGCCTGGGTTCCAACCTTGACTGCGCTAGTGTGTGACCTTCCTCTGTTTAATTTGTTTGGGCCTATTTTAAAACCTATAAGATGAGGATACTAATAGTATCTATCTCTTGGGGCTGTTATAAAGGTAAATGAGTTAATATGCTCCCAAGGGAGCTTATCCTGGTGTCTGGAGCATATCGTGTTCAATAAATGTGAGCTAAATACCAATTATTATTTAATCTTCATAATGTCTCTGCTGAAGAGATACTCTTATACAGTGGTTAAACACCAGGTTCTTGAATCAAAGTACCTAGAATAAGGTCTAGGTTTGTTGTACCTACGTTGGACAGGTTGTTTAACCTAAGTCCTATTCATAAGTTGATAAATGTGAAGCATTAGTTTCTGGTAAATAGTAAGCATTCAGTAAGTGTAAGCTGTTGTTTTTCTCCATGTTCCACTGA